GTTTCAACACATGTTCTCAGATGCAGTTGAGAAAGAAAAGTGTCTAAGTTCCATTAATAAAACTAGCAAAGCCATGTGGTCACTATACGGATAGATTTCCAGGGAAAAAATAGAAAAATGTATAGACCATGCTACAAGAGCATCTAAAGTCAGACTTCTAACTTTTTCGCACGGCTTAACTGAAATCCAGCCCTGGAGTTCTTGTATCCTACCTGTTTTCCCTTTCCCACGCTTCTCTCTCCTAGCCTTCTTCCTTATTTTATCATTGCATATAATATGCAATTCTCAGCATTTAAAACATACTTAATCTCTACAACAGAATATTACTCAACCAAAACAAAAAAGAAGAATGGAGTTCTGATACAGGCTACATCATAGATGAATCTTGAAATATATAAAGCGAATAAAATCAGACACAAAAGAAAAAGAGAGACATTTTGTGACTCGATTTATATGAACTGTCCGGAATAGGTAAATTCATAGGAAGAGCAAGTATGCTATTGCCTATGGATAGGAAAGTGACAACTGGGGAGAATGAGTAACTGTCAAAGGATTCATATTTTTTTTTGTGTTGTCTTAGCTTGGGTTTTTTGTTTTATTTGGGGGGACCACACCCAACAGTGCTCAGGGCTTACTCCTGGCTTTGCACTCAGGAACTACGCTCTGGTGGTGCTTGGAGGACCAAATGGGATGGTAGGGATAGAAGCCAGGTCGGCTTCATGCAAGGCAAATGCCTTACCCACTATACCATCGCTCCAACCCCAGGTATATGAAATTATTTAGTGGACGAGGCCTGGGCCATACTCAGCAGTGCTCGGGACTTACTCCTTACTGTGTGCTCAGAGAACATTTCTGTTTGGAAAACCATACGCAGTTTAGGATCACACTGGGGTTGGTCACATGCAAGGCAAGCACCTTAACCTCTGATTATCTGCCCCATGAGTTTATTTTTAAGGGGACAAAAAAAGGCATAAAATCAGATTACAATGATAGTTGCAAAACCCTGTCACTATGCAAAAGAACAAAACCCAGAAAACATTAAATTCCATACTTTTTTGGTTTTGTTTTTAGACTACCCGGAGATGCTCAGGGGTTATGCCTGGCTCTACACTCAATAATTATTTACCACAGTACTTAGGGACCATATGGGATGCTGGGGATCAAGGCTAGCACTCTACCCGCTGTACTATCTCTCCAGTTCCCTTAAGTGTATACTTTAAGTAGATAGATTAAAAAGTATGTTCTATCACAATAAAGCTGCTTTTTAAAAAATGTGACCTTGTTTCAGATCCTTAGTATAAAAAAAAGGACATAACAATAAATATGCCCATCCTCTGGGGCGATAGCACAGCGGTAGGGCATTTGACTTGCACGCAGCCAACATGGGCGACCCGAGTTCGATTCCTCCGCCCCTCTCAGAGAGCCCGGCAAGCTACCGAGAGTATCTCGCCCGCACGGCAGAGCCTGGCAAGCTCCCCGTGATGTATTCGATATGCCAGACACAGTAACAACAAAGTCTCCAATGGAGACGTTACTGGGCCCGCTCGAGCAAATCGATGAGCAACGGGAGGACGGACAGACAGACATGCCCATCCTCCCCACTTCCATAGTGTAGACAAATATACAATTCACTTAGTTGTGAGAAGATAGTTCTATAAAGTGACTAAGCTTCTTTTGCTCACAATTATACAAGAAATTAGAAACCCAAATGAATCTTGCTTTTCCACCCAGTAGTTACCTCACTGAGACCTTAAATCAAAACATGTGCTCAAGTTCTCCTTTAGCTCTGTGCTTACAAGTTCTTTCCACCCATAAAGCCTTTCTACACAGAGTTTTCAATGTTCAAATCCCGCCTTTCTTAAAGGCAAGCTCAAATGTTACATCTTCCATGAAGTCTCTCTGATGATTCCATCAAAAGAAACCTCGCCTTCATCTGCACTTCCACAGTATTTTGCTCTCTCAGGAGCACAGACAACTTCCAATCCAGTCTCACACTTAGAGCTCTGACTTGAAAGCAGGAGGAGCTCAGTGAATACTTAGCTGGTTAGAGACTAACAATGCTTAAGGACTGAGAAGTTCATTATCATCTGGTAAATTTTTCTTTTGGAACTAGGCCAAAGTCATTTTAGACTGAAGCAGCAGGGCTCAAGGATATACACGTCAGATACAAAATCTCTTGGCCAATGAAACAAGATGAATTTGACACATGTCTGTAAAAGAACTGAGAGGAATTCCAAAAGAGAGCCACGGAATTAAGGAGATAGCCTCCCAAGGTAATGGAAAGAAATCTGAATTAAATAAACTGCAGAATATTTGTTCCCCAAGAAGTTCTATTATTTTATAAGAACACTGTAGTTTTTTCCTAGCAAAACCGGAGAGTTCTAATATGGTTCTATTAACTCTTCTACTCGGAGAGCCCGGCAAGCTACCGAGAGTATTCGATATGCCAGACACAGTAACAACAAAGTCTCCAATGGAGATGTTACTGGGCCTGCTCGAGCAAATCGACGATCAACGGGAGGGCCTTTACCTTTACCTTTACCTAACTCTTCTACTATATTCCCACTAATACCTTCTTCACTTTCCCTGCCATACCCAAAGTCCAGATCTTCATTTGCCTCAGAACCAACCAGTTTGGGTTGGAAGGGGTGTAGTTGGGGACGCGGTCCTCTACCTGTTTGTGCTCAGAACTTATTCCTGACCAAGCTCAGGGACCACATGTGCTGCCAGGAATCACTGGGGATGGCTATGTGCAAGGCAAGGAGGGAGCACGTTGGCCACTGTAAGGTTTTTCACTCTCTCAGGAGCTAAGACAACTTCTAAACCAGTCTCACACTTACAGCATTGACTTCAGAGCAGGAGTCAAAGCTGTGTAAGTGACTCCTGCTTGACTTACTATGGCCCCAGCTCGAACCAATTTTTAAAGTCTCCTAATTTATTTCCCTTCCCTTGTTCCCTCTTCTCTTTGAACCTGTGAAGCCATCCTGTGTGTCAGTAGGGAGGGCAGAAACTGGGCAGCACATCAGTTGTGTTCTCCAGACACAGCTTAGTAAAAACCTTGATGCACAAGTCACCACAAAATACCCAGCAGCACATAAGGGCCACAGCATAAGGGCACAGAGGATTCTAAGCAATTAGGATTAGAGTAGGACATCTGGTCTCCGGAACACAACTTCTGAGTCTCCCCACACACTCTCCCCAGCCTTTCTTCCCACTTCTTTGTTTATCTTAGTGGCTAGGACCTTCTGTTAAACTACCCGTATGTCATGCACTGACTTCATCTCCAATTTCTCTCCAACTTGCCTACTAAGCTAATCAAAACAACCTACTTGCTTAACCTGGAAGTAACATATTCACAAGTACCTTTAATCACAGTGAAATATTTATCAGCACAGTGCTAGCAATTTTCTCTGTGCTAGTTCTTATCTTCCACCAATCGCAAGGCCCGTCTTTGGGGATACATAATGAAGTCGCAACTATCTAAAGTCTTCATTTTACCTTTTGACAGGTCTTACTTCTTTGCACTCATCTCAGTGTTCGTTACAGTATCTCCTAGCTACTGGTGCGAATCACAATAACCAGTGGAGCTTCTCACAAATACAAAGTCTCAGAATTTTATCCTGCTCCTAAAGAGGCCGTCAGCAAGTCTAAAGTAAAAGTTGTACATCCGTATCTACTAAAAAACAGAAACCAAATATCCCTTCGGTGATTCGGACACACCCCAACCTCCCAGTCACTGAGTTTTTTTTCTTCTCACGCTCCCTACACGGCAGCCTTTCAATTCTTCTTCATTCATGGACACTAAAGTTCATAAATAACCTTTTTAAAAATAACCCCACCAGATAGCAGCCCCGATGACTACACTTGTATCAAGTGCAACATGTGGTTTTCAGACTGCATTCCCTGACGTCCTTCGGGGGCCAGCTACACGATTACCTTCTGTCTTCTACACTGTTTGCTATTTGTTGGAAAATGGAGGCCTGGAATGCGGCCTGGAGAGCCAACACGATGTAAGAATGCAACTCTGGGCCTCGCAGGAAAGCGGGTCGGTAGGAACAGAGCAGCACAGACCCAGCGCGGCCGGTGCACCGCGCTCCCGGGCCGACCGACCGCGGCGGCCGGCGGCGCGGCCGGGGAGGGCAGCGCCGGGTCCGGCCGGCCTCCCTGGCTGCCCGCCCCGCAGTCCGGCGCTGGGGAGACCGGGGAGCCCGTCAGTCCCTGCAGGGGCCTCCCCGAGAGCCCCACCCCGCCCACAGCGGCCTCGGCTCCGCCACGCACGGCGCGGGGGGGAGGTGGGCGGCGAGAACTTTGTTCCCCAAGTTGCTCCCGCGCCCCCCGCGCGGGTGGGAGCCCCGGGGGGCGGCGCCGGGGGCCGCGTCCTCCTTCCTCCGCCCCCGAGCCGGGTGCCACAGGCCTCTCCCGGCAGCTCCATCTTGCTTCCTGCGGGCGGAGGGGCTGCGCGGGTGCCCCGGGGCGCGGGGAGCCGCCCGACAGCAGGTAACGGCAGGTGGACGCCCTTTCTGCAGGGGGCGGGAGCGCCCCGAGGCGCACGCAGGGGGCCCGGGACCGAGGAGGCGGCCGGCAGCGGCCAGCGGGGCGAGTGGACAAAAGGGCGGGACGCCGGGAGCCCCGGGAGGGGCGGCGGGCGACGGCACACGCGCGAGGACCGAGGGCCCGGCTCCAGGCGGGACTCCCGCAGGGCAGCGGGGCGCGGGCGCAGCCCCCTCCCGAGCGGCGGACCAACGCCACCTCCCGACGCCGCCCTCCCCGCCTGCCCGGCCGGCGTGCCCACGGCTGTCCCCATTCCGTGGATGAGGAAACTGAGGCCCGGCGAGGCGCAGGGGCCGCTGCCTCAAGGTCACGGGGCCGCCAAGTGTGGGCACTCGCGCCCCGGGCCGTCCGGTCCCCCACCCGCGCGCGCACGGCCCCGGGCGGGCGAACGAGGGGCAGCGGCGCCGCGGAGGCTGCCCCGAGACCCCACGCAGGCCCAGCGCGCTCACCCGAACCAGGTTGCTGACGGCCGCCTGCACGGCGGCGACGGGCGCGGTGAGGTCAGGGATGGCTTTGCCGTCCACCTCGCCCTCCTCGTGCATGATCACCAGGTGCGAGATCTGCTGCGCCACCGGCTCCAGGATGCTCTCGATCGTGCGCGTGTGGAACACCGGCATCGTGGCGGCGAGAGGGGCGGCGAACCGCGGGCCACAGAGAACTGGGGTTTACTACGCGGCCGGCAGCCCGCGGACACACCGACTCTCCGCGGCGACTACAGAGTCCGGGCTTCCCTCGGCGTAACCAGCCAGACCGGGCGCCCCGCCCCTCGCGGCGCCGCCCCCAATGGCCGCGGAGCTCAGACCCGGGCCGCCCCTCCGATTGGCCGCACTGCGCTCCGCTCCGCCCCCGCCCCCGCGCCGCCGAGACCCCGCCCCGCCCCGCCCCCATTCCCAAGGGAGGGGCCTGAGCCCGGGCTGCGCCGCAGGGATCGCGCCCGGATTCCCGAGTCCTAGCGCGGGGCGCTCCTTATAAGGGCATGGTGGGAGCGGACGGCCCGGGGCGGGGCCGCGCCCGCCGCGCCGCAGTCACCTCCGCGGGGCGGGGTCTGCGCACCTACGGCGCCGCTCCCCAACTTTCCCCTCCGCGCCAGACTCTCCAGGAAAAAAAACCCTCTCTTTCCCTTCCCTCTCGGGAGCACTCGGAAGCGCCTTTCGGTAGGACGCTCAGGCAACGGAAAGGCACAGAGAAACGTCCCATTCATCATCCTCTCCCTCCCCCTCTGTCTCCCTCTCACACACCCCAGAAATGCAGAGCAGGAGCTCCCCATTCATTCATTCTCTCTCTTTCTCACTCACTCTCTCTCTCTCTCTCTCTCTCTCTCTCATACACACACACACACACACACACACACCCCAGAAATGCAGAGAAGCAGGAGCTCCCCATTCATTCTCTCTCCTGTCTCTCTCAAATACACACACACCACAACGCAGAGAAGCAGGAGCTCCCCATTCATTCTCCTCTCTTTCTCTCACATACACCCCTCACACACACACACACACACACACACACACACACACACACACACACACACCACTAATGCAGAGAATCACGAGTTCCCCATTCATTCTCTCTCCTGTTTCTCTCTCTCTCTCACACACACACACACACACATATACCACAAACGCAGAGAAGCAGGAGCTCCCCATTCATTCTCTCATCTCTCTCTCTCTCTCACACTCACACACACACGCACACACGCGCACACACACACACCACAAACGCAGAGAAGCAGGAGTTCCCCATTCATTCCCTCTCCTCTCCTCTCCTTTCTCTGTCTGTCTGTCTGTCTGTCTCTCTCTCTCTCTCTCACACACACACACACACACACACACACACACACACACACCAGAAACTCAGAGAAACATTCTCTGGCTCAGAAATAATGTCTCTGACACTTGCTCGCGTATACATTTTTTAAATTTCTAAGGACATTTTTCTGGAAGTTGCCTTTCCCCCTTCCTCCCACTCCCATGAAAATTCCCTGGTTATCTTTTACTTTATCTATTTATTTATTCATTCATTCATTCATTTATTTAGGTTTTGGGGCCTATGCTCAGGGGTTTCTCCTGGCTCTGCACTCAAGAATTACTCCTGATAAGGGGCGGGGATGGGGAGACCATCTGGGGAGCCAGAGATTGCACTGAGTGTGCAAGGCAAAGGCCCTACCCACTGTATTATTATCTCTCTAGCCCCCTCTTTTACTTTCTTTTAAATGGCTGGGTAGTATTTTGTTACATAATATAAAGACTTCTTTTTTCTTTCCTCTTTTTTGTCTTTTGTTTTTGTTTTGGGGGCCACACTCAATGGTGCTCAAGACTTATTCCTTGTTCTGCACTTAGGAATCACTCCTCTGGGGGCTCAAAGATTCTATGAGATACAGGGACCAAATCCCTGTCTACCACATGCAAGGCAAGCTCACTATTGGTTGTCCTATCACTCTGTCCTAATATAAAACCATTTTTATAAAAAAAAATTTCTAATAATGGTCATGAATGCTAGATTCTGTTTAACACTATTAAAAAACAATTGTGCGCTATGGTACATCTACATAATGGAGCACTACACAACTGTTAGGAAAAATGAAGTCATGAAATTTCCTTATAAATGGATGGACATGGAGAGTATCACGCTAAATAAAATAAGTAAGAAGGAGAGGGACATACATAGAATGACTGTACTCATTTGTGGGATATAAAAAATAGTATGAGATTAATATCTAAGGTCAAGAAAAACAGGGCCCAGAAAAACTTGTTAATGGTTGAAAGCTTTCCATAAGGATAGTTGGGATAGAGAAGGGACCAGTACGACAATAATAGAAATGATCACTCTGGACAAGAACTGAGTGTTGAAAGTAGGTAAAAGGATGTACGTGATAAACCTTTAGTATCTGCATTGCAAGCCATAATGCCCAAAAGGAAAGATAGAGGGCCCGCCCTCAGCAGTGAAGAAACCCTACAGGCACCACAGCACCAGAGAATTCTCCGGGCCCCAAACTAATCCAGCATCACCAGGAAGCCCCAGATGGAACAGTTGCAGTCTCCTCGCCTTCTCCAGATGAAATCCTGGCGACCAGGAGCTTCTACAAGCATGACTCTGATATGTGGACACCAGGACTATTCCTCTGAACACAGCTGCCACACAACTTTTCCTGATATACAAAGTGAGCAATGGAAAATAGATGATCTAGCGTCTGCGCCTAGAAGGCAGGCTTGAATGGTGGTGGGAATATCTAAGCAAAATATAATGCCCAAAACTATAGAGAGAGCATCTCCGCAATTGTCTGCTGTAGAGGCAGGATAAGGACTGAGATGGAAATGGAGGGGATAATGGGGATATTTACTGGTGGTGGAACATTTGCACTGGTGGAGGGATGGGTGATCGATCATTGTATAGCTGAATATCAAACATGAAAGCTTTGTAACTGTATCTCACGGTGACTCATGCTTCTGGACTGTGAATTACGCTACACCCCATTGCTGCCCCTGCAGGGAGGGGAGAGGAAAGGGTGTTGTCCCTTCTACCTTCTTCCCCTCCGCGGCATGGTGACGGCCATTTTTCAGAGCCTATTGGACTGATAGGTACAGGCCTGCAGTGACCAGACACATGGGGCCTCACGGGGACAGGGGCTGGAACCAGCCCTTCTCCCCGCCCCATTGAGACCCTGAGTTGCCGCCCACAAACAGCTCCTCAGTCTCCTGAATGGCCATTATCCCAGAGGCAGACAAACCAATCCCGGAACCTAGCGGCTTCTGGCAGAAATCCTTCCAGACTTAATTACTAAAATATCAGAAATCCAAAATTGTGCGACTGCTGTTGCGGCCGCGCAACATCATATTCTCTTCATTATCAGCAATAGAAAACAAATTATCTAATGATGCCTTCATGGCAGGTCTGAATGATGGGGAAAAATTCCAAATAGTAGTGGTAGGTCTTCTGTCGACAAATTGAATGTAATCAAAGTAGAGAGAGAGTAAAGTGGAAATCATCTGCCACAGTGGCAGGGATGGGAGGGGGGTATACTGGGGTTTTTAGTGGTGGAAAATGTGCACTGGTGAAGGGATGGGTGTTTGATCATTGTATTACCAAGACTTAAACCTGAAAGCTTTGTAACGTTCTCATGTGATTCAATTAAAAATAATAGGAGGGACAGGCACGGAGGCCCAGCTCTGGGCAACAAAGCTGAACGGCTCCTATTCCAACCAGGTACAGCCCGCCCCCAAGGGCCTGGGACCCTCTCTGGGCATGCGCAGCTAGCTCCATCTCCTAGGAAGCTGGTTTTCTCCCCTGATCTGCGCGGGACGGGCATGGAGGCCCAGCTCTGGGCAACAAAGCTGAACGGCTCTTATTCCAACCAGTTACAGCCCGCCCCCAAGGGCCTGGGACCCTCTCTGGGCATGCGCAGCTAGCTCCATCTCCTAGAAAGATGGTTTTCTCCCCTGATCTGCACGGGATGAGCACGGAGGCCCAGCTCTGGGCAACAAAACTGAACGGCTCCTCATCCCACCCAGGAGACATTCCCAACTCCTCGCCCAGTGCCAGGGACTCTTTCCGGAGCCGCGGCCGCTAATGCGGCCACAAAATATTTTCCCACTACATATGCCATAGGAACCATAAGCTACCTTCTTAGATGGAAACTTCTCTAGTTTAGCTCAGCCACTAGAAATACAGTAGCCAATAACTCATAAGCCTATCTTAACTCACACTGCATATCAAGCAGAATAGTAACAGTGAACATGAAGGACTAAAACACACTTGTCACAATGGTAAAGCAACGCAAAAGCCCACCAAACTTTCTTATTGAAGAGTCTAGCCCAGATGACACCAACAGTACTGTAGTGTTAGACAACCTCTCTGACAAGGAATTCAGAAGGGAGCTACTTAGGATGCTTAGGGAACTAAAAGACACAATAGAAAGCAATGCCAATAGAAGACAAGAGGATTTGAAGGCAGAAATGAGGAAAATGCAATCGGAAATGTCAGACCTGAAAAATCTCGTAGGTGAATTGAAAAACTCAGTGGAAGGCCTCAGCAGCAGAGTAAGAGCTGCTGAGAACAGAATCAGTGAGCTCGAAGATGAAGTTCAGAGACTCTCCAGAAAAGAGCAGAAAATGGAAAAGAGACTCACAATTCGGGAACAGATGGCAAGAAAAGATCGTGATGAAGCCAAGAGGGGTAACATAAGAATTATTGGAGTCCCAGAGGTACAGGAAGAAAACCTTGATGAAGAAGAAACTGTCAAAGACATCATTGCTACAACGTTTCCAGAACTGAAGAAAACTTGTGACCACATTCAGGAGGCCCGAAGGGTACCAGCTAGAAGAAATCCGAATAAAAATACCCCAAGACACATTCTGATCAAAATGACCAAAACCTTAGACAGAGACAAAATTCTGAAAGCAGCAAGATCGAAGAAAGAAATCTCTTACAAAGGAGCATCCTTAAAATTCACAGCTGATTTTTCTGATGAAACCCTCATGGCCCGAAAACAGTGGTGGGACATAGTGAAAAAACTCAATGAAATAAATGCCTCCCCAAAATTACTTTACCCAGCGAGACTCTCATTCATAATAGAAGGAACAACACACAGTTTCACAGACAAACAACAGCTCAGGAACTTCATAGACTCAAAACCATGGTTACAAGAACAACTAAATGGGCTAATTTAAGGCAAGAAAGGCCCCTCAAATACACCAAATTTCAACAGAACAATGGGACAAAAA